TGTCACCTTTCTGTGTGAAAGAAAGCCAGTATACACTGTGTCACCTTTCTGTGTGAAAGAAAGCCAATATACACTGTGTCACCTTTCTGTGTGAAAGAAAGCTGATATACACCATGTCACCTTTCTGTGTGAAAGAAAGCTCAACTCGTAAATTACAATTGGAATTACAGTCAGTGGATGAATAGCTACTCTGTAGAAATGCCACTGTTAAATCCCATTTATTATTTATTTATTTATTATTATTTGATATACACTGAGTCACCTTTCTGTTTAAAAGAAAGCTGATATACACTGTGTCACCTTTCTGCATTGCTACATTGTTTTGTTGGTATTATTGCTAGTTTTGTTTTATATATGTGGACTATATAATACGAAAAGGTATAAAATAATGCTTCATTAATGTATTTTACAACATTATTGCGTGTATGAATTATACAAACTTGTTTGCACACAAGCAGTTCAATTGTTCTCTTGTACAATTTACTGTAAATTTATCACTTAGTGGTTAATCTTTTGACAAAACTTTGATATGATGTTTAAATCTTATCAGGCCTGAAAAGTGCCCACATTTATTTATCTTGGCAAAATTTGTGCTTTTGTCAGTAAATCTTGGCTTTTCTTTTCTTTACCTTCATTTTACAGATCTTTTTAACATGTTGTTTTGTTTTTTTGTTTTGCTTCAGACATAGCTTGGCGGAACATCTTTTCAGCCTACATGAATCTAATTTCTAATTTGGATAGGAAACAACTTCAAAGTCAAGTAGAAGACCTTTTTGGTGGAACTGATAAATTTCTGGCTTGCACATCAGTTCGTAGTGGCTTGGATCTTTTTCTAGCTACAATGAACTTCCCAAGAGGCTCTGAAATCATATTCACTGCCATTAACATTCCTGATATGCCAAGCATTGTGGAATCCTATGGAATTAATGTCGTAACTGTTGATATTGACCTTGAAACTCTTGGCCCCAAGGAAGAGCTTCTAGAATTAGCAATAACAGACAAAACAGTTGCTATCTTAGCAGCCCATATTTATGGAAAATGGATTGAGATGGATAAAATCATCARTATAGCTCATAGCCGGGGGTTATTTGTTCTCGAGGATTGTGCTGAATGCTTTCAAGGCTTCAAAAGTAAAGGAAATGAAAATTCTGATCTTGTCTTTTATAGCTTTGGACTGATTAAGTATTCCACTTGTTTGGGTGGAGCAATCGTAAATGTCAAGAATATTGAACTTTTGAGAAAGATGAGAGCCAAACTAGGGTCATATCCTGTTCAGAGTCACGTTTTTTTCCTTCAAAAGTTGTTGAAATACTCTGCTATAACCTTGGCATTGAACAGTTCATATTTACAATGGGGCATTGTAAGACTCATGAACCTGCTCGGCTGGGAGTATAAAGAGGTGTTTATTTCTTTTTTAAGAGGATATCCGGGTCAAATTTTTCCTCAGCTACGACTTCAGCCTTCTGCCGCATTACTAAAGGTCATGTTTGATGTTCTGTCGAATGTTAATGAAAGAGAATTTGACATTGTGAAAATGAAGGGCGACTTTGTGGGAGACAATTTACCAGATAATGTTTTCATGCCTGGGAAGAAGTCTCGTGTTATCAACTACTGGCTGTTTCCAATTGTTGTTGTAAGTTTATGGATTTCTATAAATTTTAAAAGATTTTTGTTTTTTATGATACACTCAACAAAATTTCTGGATTTTGATTGGACAAGAGGAGTACAATTAAATCCCAAATTGTACTCTGTAGAGTCCTAATTAAGTCACTTAATGTTGTTAAGTATATTATGAACAACAAATCGCACAATCTTCTCGTGCAATTCAGAATTTATAGATACTTGTAATGTTTTAAAAGTTCTCAAATTAGACTTGCCTAAAGGCTCGTCCAATTTTGAACACTTTCAAAACATCACTCCTACCTTTAAATTCCAAATTGTACTCAAGAAAGTTTTGACAAATTAACAGACATCATAACTGCAATTTTCATATCTATGCAAAATTCATATCTATGCCAATTCAGTAGCTGCAGGTTGCCCATTGGAATTTGTTTTTTCACTGCTGCCAGTCAAAAATGCAAAAGGTGCCAAATGATTTATTTTAATTGATGGCAGTGAAAAACCAAATTTCAGCAAGCAGCTACAAGTTCACGTAAGATCCAAAACTGCTATAATAAGGGCTTGATCCAGAATGCTACAGTATTTACTCATTTTCGACCAAACCATGTGTCATTATTTGAAATTAAGATTCTTTGTTAAATCGACATTCAAATCGTTATCCCTGGGTTTCTAGTAAAGAAAGGAATGATAGTCAACCAAGGGAATAGCACATGGGCTGAATTTGGAAATTACTGGATTAAGTCTGTTCATAATAATCTACAAAGCTTTCGCTTTCGTTTTCACAACAGAGCTAGGCTCCAAACTAAGTGAAAGCCCAGAGATTGAATTAGAATTTAGCAGTTGATTTTTGAGGAGGGAGGAAAACCAGAGAACCTGGAGAAAAACTCTCGAAGCACTGGAGAAAACCAGCAAACAACTCTACTCACATGCAACATTGAGATCGGCAGGACTCGAGCTCAGGTCGCATGGAGAGAGGTGGCGCATTAGCAGCACACGCCACCTGCGCTTCCCGGTAATAATAMTACTACTAATAATACATGGGTGTTATGACAACGTATACAGTATGTAAACAGTCATGGCAGATGTTGTATGGGAAGTATTCTGTTGTAAGAAAGGACAGGCTAATAGTAAAGAAGATATTAATAAAAGTGCCCCAAATTAGTGCAAAAGCGCTAGAACCACTAGTCTCTTGAATAAAGAGATTTGTTTAATTTTTATTTATTTAWTTATTGAATTGCCTAACATTGGTAACTTTGGCTTTTTTAAGGATAATCCTTTTGAAGTCATGAAAGCACTTGCTAAAGAAGGAATAGAAGCATACCAAGGTGCAACACAGTTACGCACAGTCTACAAAACCCCTACTTCCAAGGAAGCTACAAGCAGCAGTACAGACCAAAATGATGAGGAAAGATTTGCGAAAAAGCTTTTGCCAGCTCAGGATTGTCATGTAGAAAATGACTTCAGCACCTCTCCTGAAGTAGCAGCTGGTGTAAGCCAATCATTTTCAAGTCCGAACTATTGCGAAACTTTCTCGACCACTGCTGTCACCCAACAAAACTTAGCTGCAAATTCACCAGCAAATTATTCCACTTCTACCGTGTTTGTTGGAAAAGAAAAAGACTCTCAGAAGAAGACTCTCAAGCATACCAAGTGTACTTCAAAGAATTCCAAAGATATTTTATACCCATACAATGCAGAGTACCTTATTGATCATGTTTTGTATTTGCCTGTACATAAGAAAGTTCCCTTATGGTATTTGGAGTACATATGTATTGCATTGGAAAAGGTTATGAAGGATCGACCTGGAGTAAAATTCAAGAATGACAAGAAAAATATTATTTTACCTTCAAAACTTTGAAGTACAATTTATTTTTTTCTTGATAGAAAAAAAATTGATTTCCTATTAGAAAAATATTATTTCTTATTAGAAAAATATTATTTTACCTTCAAAACTTTGAAGGACAATTTACTTTTTTCTTATCAATTAGAATGTATACTTAACGTTTTTTAGGTCTCAAAAATGAAATTAATGAACTTGGATTTTTTATATTCTCTCTATTTCATTGCACACACCGAACGCATAATTTATTACTACTATACTATAACTTGGATTTAATTAAATGCCTGCTTTTGGCCAATTATGAGATTAAATATTGTTTAACTAGGAATTAGAATGATTTACCTCATAACGTGAAATAGTTAGTATACTAATAGAGGTTAGCAGATCTTACTTTCATCGTTTTCTTTTGTGTCTATTTGACTAGAGTTCAAGCAATTAATCCCTGAAACACTAATTACTAAATATTACAAAATAGTGCTAGTTAAACAATAGAAAACAATGGAATTTCCATGAAATTGTGCTATTTAGTATTCCTAAAGTTTCACAGTTATATTGTTTGAACTCTATTACACATTGACTACTAGAAACAGTCTGAGTAAAACCGACTAAGGCCTAGGGCAAACGTTGAACTTTCCATGCACCGAACTTAATTACATCAAAGAATGCCGCCTCATTATCACCTGATATCCATTGTTTTTAATGAGTTCGGTGCATGGAAAGCTCGACGTTTGCCCTAGACCTAAACGAAATAGGCTCTTTGCTTGATAGTATTTACTACCACTACAAGGATGCTTTGTATCACTGAGTCATTAATGTTTTTAAATATATCAAAGTACACTCAACAAAATTACTCGATTATGATTGGTYGAGAAGAGACTCCACACTCCATCTGAGTACTTATCCAATTAACCATTTTCCATACATTGGTTCACTGGTCAAACACAAAGCGCTCAAGCGAGGCGCCAAGGTACTTTCAAAGGATAATTCAAATTTGAACCTTGCAACCTCGAATGAATGCTTTGTGTTTGACCAATGATCCGATGTATGGAAAATGGTGAATAGGCCCTTTATAGCAGCTCGGTAATCACGTGCTGATTATTTCACTGAGAGCAAATGAACGAACATTTTGATTCCCATGGGTGAAATTTACTGGAGAGCAAACAAACTTTCTACAACCTGTTTTGAGAGATTGTAATAAAACTGCATTTCGTAACACACTGGTTACACATCGTTTCATTCAGTTCTTTACAAGTAGCTAAAAAGAATCACCAATTTAAAAATTAATTTTGCTGTCCAGAACAGACACGTGACCATTAACTGCAAAGGGCCTATTGCTATCGTAACCACATAAGAAAGAATATATATATTGTTTTTAACTTACAAAACATATTTATATTATGCGGCACATGCAGCAAAACCATGAAATGAAAACAAAGTTGATTCTGAGAAATAGTAGCTATAAAGTGACTTGTGATAAAATTACAAAATTACTCGATTCTGCACAATTAATTCCCAAATTGTACTCTATAGAGTCCTAATTACGTTGCTCAATTTTGTTGCCTGTGTTATAAAGACAAAATCACGGCTCGTCCAATTTTGGAAATTTTCAAATCATCACTCGTAGCTATAAATCCCAAATTGTACGAGAAGATCGTGCGATAGACCTCATCGGCTCTGGAGCGCTTGAGCGTAATGTTGTCCCATTTCAGACCAACTGTCATTCCCTTGAGAATAATATTCTTTGTTTGAGTTGTTTCCATATTCAGGTGTCTTCTCGTGTGCAACCGAACGCAAACCTTAAACAAAGAAATGATATTCTAGGGAATGACGTGGTCTGAAATGGAAAACATTACGTCAGAGCCAAGGAGGTCTATTTCCTATACTAAATAGTTGCTATCACTCAATCAGATAATTCATAACACAAAGCCAAATATACAAGAGAGCATTTGAGTCTTTGAATAAGTTGAAATATCTGACTGCTATAAATGATAGTTCTTGTATTCATTAACTCAAGGTATTTTTTCATATGCAAATATATTATGCCTGACTATCTGCACTGGTATTTATTCCAATAATAAATCTTTTTTTATAATACGTATAGAGTAATGTATTGTAAAATAATAGATGAAAGAAAGAAATCTTTCTTCTAACAAGAATTGTCGAATTATTCATTACGTTATCTTATCTCCTCGAAAGAAAAAGTCATGAGCCCCCCTGTGACTCAGACAAAGACCAGATATGCACGCTCAGTCTTCTTTAGATTACGCGCGCTCTGTGACTCGGACAAACACCAGACACGCACGCTCGGTCTTGTTTAGATCACGCGCGCTCTGTGACTTAGACAAACACCAGACATGCGCGCTCAGTCTTCTTTAGATTTCGCGCGCTCTGTGACTCAGACAAACACCAGACATGCGCGCTCAGTCTTGTTTAGATTACGCGCGCTCTGTGACTCGGACAAACACCAGACATGCGCGCTCAGTCGTTTAGATTACGCGCGCTCTGTGACTCAGACAAACACCAGAAATGCGCGCTCAGTC